CTTTGTCGAGTCTTTCTCGAGTCTTTAAACGACATTATTACGTCATTTTTAACGTTATTGAAGCATTGTTGAGTCATTGTTCGATTATTTGTTGAAGCGTTGTTGAACCATTGCGTTTTTTCTGATGAAAAACGAAACGTATCTTGACACAAATTCCAGAGCATACGACCTTGATCAAAGAAGTCCCAGATTTGTGGCATGGATGACCACTTTGATCGCCAGACAACCTCAGAAAAATGAGCGGCTGGTCTTCTACAACCTGGTGGAGGTGTTCATTTCTGAGTCTTGTCAACTTGATCTTCAGCAACCTCTTGTGGAAGGAACGCAAGGCGGTAGCCTCTGCAATCTTCGGCATCCATCCGCTCTCATTTCCTCTGGGACGTCAAGCAGCCCGCGGGCCTTGTTGTCGCTCTGGCACATTACACGCTTACTTGCATACGCAGCTGTCGCTTTGCCTTGAAACTGCCAGTATGAGCCATTGCGCGACCCATGCTTTATTGCGCGATCCTGAAATCTAGGAAGCGGGGCATGTGAGAGAGGCCGATGTTGATATGAAACGGGTAATTCATTGCTGACGACTCTTGCCGGCTTGGCCTGTTGGTTGCAGCTTGTTTCACCGTTTATTAGTTGCTTTTTAGTTCATGGTTGCTTCTTGTTGATTTCGTTAGGACCGAGTGCGGCAACGGCCGTCGACGAGGCCTGCTCACGCCAAAAAAAATGTTGCCATCGACAGTGTTCATTTGGATGGTTATTGCCAACATTCTAGTTTTGAAATTGGACACAGGAGCTGCAAGGTTTTATGGGCTTCACGGAATTTACCCACCCAAAGAAGTTGGCCGCCAAAGCGCAGCAATTAGAGTTAAAAACATGTTTGCATGTCAATGGCACAATTTTTCACATTTGGAGTCTTCGAGCAGCTGTGCTGACTTGCCGAGAAGAGACCATTTTTTCTTCGTGGTTTAGACGTTCTTGTTGTTTTTGCGTTCACCCAAATTGCCCTTTGTTTCCTTCGTTTTTTGTGTGTGTGTAGTTGGACCAGAAAAAAAGAATAGAGATGGATGCGATAAAGTTTAAATGTGCGTCCAAAATGATTGAAGTCATTCGAACAGACGTTGCGTGGAAAGCACCAGCTTTTTATCGTACTTCTGCACACTGCAGATGAAAGTGGAACGACTAATAAGTTTGGTTTGGGTGATTCTTGAGTTGCAGCGTGTCGCAGCGCACACGTGAAAAACCCATTTGGGTTCTACTCCTGTTGGTTAATGTTGCCAAGAGCTCTGCTTTGCAATAGTTGCTTGAGGTTCAATAAATTTCGTTTGTTTTCCTTGCATCGATCAAATGTATCGCTGTAGCTTCACGTACATGTTGATCTTGCTTTCTCTAACTTAACCCGCAGCATGCCAAAAAGAGCCTTCATCCGACCTTCTTTCAGCGTTTAACTTGAATGCTGGTGGTTTGAAAAATGACACGTCGCCTTTGAAATGCCAACACCAGTCTTCCCAATGTGAACTCCACTTCAATTCTCCTCCGAGTGCTTTTGTGTGTCCAATCGATGCCATGACGACAACCACAACCGAATCTTTACATACTGACATTCTGAAGTCTCGCAATGGAATCTCCGACCTTCGGCCAGAGCTGCGCTACCACACAATTTCAGTATCAACCAACCAAACAATTTATAGATTCATTCAGACACAATGCTCAGCACACAATCAGATCCTATGCAATCCGGACTCGCTCCCGGACTCAATGTTCGCTCAGCTTGAACCAATGGCATGTGCAATCTCTTAGGATGCCAGCGGTCTAATTAAACTTGCAGCCAACCATGCGTGCGTTCAGCGTTTGAAAGAGTGTCTCTGCAGCCAGGACCCGTCTAGTAGTTATCTTGTTTTATTGGGGCAGCCCTGCTCCGTGGTGCAGGCGGAAGGGATAGTCTGAAGCTTCCAACAATGTCTTGACATGTCGGTTCCACTGATGCAGAGATCCCACCTTCAGGTAAGGCCGACATGCCTGAAAAATATGATGTTCATGTTGCTCGACAGTCAAAACGTGCTTATTACGTCAGACCTAGACAGATTGCGTGTAGTCTTGGCGTTCTGGGTTGAATTCTCGAACAACCTCAACTTTGGACAGGTGCAGAGCTCTGCGGCGCCTTCAGCGTTGTTGCTTATCTGCGTTGATGTTCTTGGGCAGGTGTTACGCATCTAAGCGGTGCATCTCCATGTTGCGACCAGGATCTGGCAGCAGAAGAGCGTTCTCTCACAAATATGACTACACCAGCGTGGTGCGACCAGGACTTCACCGTCGGGATCAGGGGCACCTATCGCCTCAACAGCGATGGCACTGTCATTCGCGATTGTGAGCCGTCGAGCGATGAAGACATGCGCCTGAACGATGATGGCACCGGCCTCGAAGAGAGCCCTGTGAAGACGACCAGCATTCGCTACGAAGGCACATGGGAAGCACTCGAAGAAGGGAAGGTAAGTGTGAATTTGCGAACAAAGATCCGGACCACCTCAGACGGCAAGACAGTGTCAGAGGGCACCAACATGTTTGAAACCTTGCAATGGCGAGGGGATGCGTTTGACGAGTGAAGGCCAGGCATCGCTTGTTCTCTTCATGAGAAGCCTTTCGAGCTGGATTGGATCTGCATTACTCCGCAACTGCTTGGTTGGTCGCAGCAGGCCCAACGGTTGAAAAAGGGAAAGGAGAAACTGCGTGGAGTGTATTTTCGCAGGAAGACACACACTCAAGAGTTTGTTAGATGTTGTGGCTCGACTGGTCCTGTCGTCTGGAAGCTCTTATGCGTAGCTTGCGAATCATTACCCCGAACTTCAAGCCCGAAGCATGTTGCACCAATATTTGGATGTGCAGGAGACAACATGCCACTGTCAGCGCACCGCGAGCATGCCATTGCTAATTCAGGCAAATGAAGGAGAAGCCAGTTTTGCGGGTATCCGGTAGGCTCGCACAAAATCCGACTTCCCAAAAAGAGAAGTCCACCTCGGTTCACGCTGGCGCGGACGTGGATGCAAGTTGATAAGATTGAAAAGCATAACACTGTTTGGGCGGCGCGAGGCCATTCGATTTAGGCTCCGGTTCATTAGCTTGCAAGTTGCAATCCAGCGTGCCTGCAGCGTTCCTGCGTGGCTCAAGTTCGTCTGACTCGGACAACAGACATGGCTCTGTGACGCCAAGATTGTGTCTCGCGGTTGGCTTCAAAGTATGGCCAATTTCCATCGCGTGCATTTTTGGTTGAGTCTAGTGCAGTACGGAACGTGCATTAATTGCATACGGCATGAGTGCTGTTTGCAGCCAAAAGCTTGTGCAAACACATGGTGCGAGACTCAGCCGTGGTTGTTGCGGAGAGTTGTTCTGGATCATCGAAATCCTTGTTATTCTTTGCAGGCGTTTGGCCCGCAAATGGTTCCCGACCTGAGTTTATCAGTGCCCCGATTGGGCACCGAGAAATCTGCGCGGTACTCAGTGATGAGGCTTTCGACAGATTTTCTCTCTTTCGTCGTTCACGTGTCGAGAGAGAATTGTGGACCATACCTGTTTTGGTTCCGAGATCCCCACCCGGACCAATCCACATGTGTAGAGGACAATATCACGAGCATTATTGACAAGTACATAACTCCGAAGTACTGTACTGTTACTCCGGAAAGTGCCAAGAATCTCCGGTGATCCGCTTGAGCCATGGTTGTTCTTGTCGGTGGAGGAACAGGGAATGTCGGCTCTGCTGTGGTGCAAGCGCTGTCATCTTCTGGTTTCGCGCGGCCCCTACAGCCACACCCAGAGACTCCAATATCCCTTAATTAAGGAATATACCTCAAATCATATTAAGGATCCTACTATAATTTAAGGTATATTCCGTAATTAAGGGGTATTGGAGTCTCTGGGCATGCTGCAGGAGCAGACCTCTGTGTTGGCATCATCGCAGGCTGTGAAGGTTCTGTCTCGGGATCTGTCCACGGCGAAAGCATCGAAGCTCTCGCATTTGCCCGGCGTCTCATGTGTTCAAGGTGGCCCCAAGCTCTATAACCAGTGCAGTTGCAAGTTTTGGCTGTGCACGATGAAGCACGGACGCAGAGCAGCATGCAAAAGCTTGCGTGCAGGCAACATGAGCGATCGGACGGCTTTGGCATCTGCGTTCGATGGCGTAACCGCTTGCTTTCTGGGCTGTTCAAATTCTGCTCCCTGGCTGGAGTTTGGGCCGAGGGTTGAATCCAGGCCCGAATGTTGCTCCCAGGAGCAGCAAGTCCGAGACGAGATCGCCTTCATCGACGCAGCTCAGAGCTGCGGCTGCCGGTACCTGGTGAAGCTGGGGACCTGCGGGGCTCCAGGTACCAACCTGCGCGTTTTGATTTCAGAGAAGCATGAAGAGACATTCCTATTCAGAGAAGATGAGTTTTATAACCCACACACACGCAAGAAAGAAAGACCAAGATGCGAAGAGGAGCGTTGAGATTGTCGTGACAGAGTTTCTGCCAAGATGTTCACAGCAAAGTGTTGCACGTCTTCCTCATTTGCCACAGGGTGCAGGTAGGTAGCATGAAAAGCATATGCTTCTCATGGATTATAACCAAAGCATCCAGAGCAGTGTAAGGCCTTCAAGAGGTGAAGGTTATCGGTCCACCAGTTGCCGTCAGGCTACACCTCCGCAGACAGCATCATCCAGTATGGCCGTTGCCTGCCTTGCAAAGACGCTGTTTTTCTTTGGGGGTTGTCGGGATTGTTGCGTAGTTTGCTCGGTGGGAGCAAACGCAAGTAGACAAGAAGCCTGGTGTCTGCTCCTGCGGTCGCCGTGATGAGGTTTGAGAAGGGAACTCGTAGGGTTCGCAGGGATCTTGTTGAATCTCTTGGAGCCAACGCCCAAGGAAATCGTGGCTATGGGCAGAGACCGGTTTCGATCAAACTCCTCTTCTCCAAGCCACGCCAAGAGTTTGTCATTCGGACCTGATGGAAAACCAAAGTTAAGGCAAGGGTTTCCAAATTGGCTTTCAACTGAAAAAGTCTGCATGCCTTCCTCGTTTTATTGAAAAGCCCCGTGATTCTCCAGCAGCTGCAGGTTTCCATGCTGAGATCGAGAAACACCTGTCTTCGACAGATCTGGAATGGACAGTCCTGAGGCGGGGCGGCATGGACGCGAAGAGTGCAGTATCAGTGTCCCTGTTGCATGTTTTTATCATTTGTTTTGTTGTAGTGACTCCGTTCATGGCGTTGTCGTTATCATTGCAGTCATGGTGTGGATCATTTGTGCGACAGGCCTGACTGCTGCTATTCCTATCGTCGCGACTCACAAGATTTTGGTCTACCACTCTGGTATCAGATCATCTTGCTACTATCAATTTGTTGCCCTTCTGCCCTCATACTACTGCTGCTGCTACTGTACTACTACGACTACTACTACGACTACTGCTAGTACTACTTCATACTAGTACTGGTACTGGTAGTAGTACTACTAGTACTACTAGTACTACTAGTACTACTAGTACTACTACTACAACAAC